ATTTTGCATTTTGGTACCAGGAGCACATGATGTGCGAGGAGGTGGCATAATTCTTAATTGAATCTCGATACTTACCTTTTGTTTCATAGGTATAGAAGGGAAATGGAGGAGCTGTCAGGAGGCATCAGGAGTTAATAGGTGGTGACAGGAGGTGTTAGAGGGAGTCAGGGGGTGTTGGTAGTTGTTAGTACGAGTCAGGAGATATTAGAAGTTGTTAGGAGGTGTATGGAGGTGTTTGTGGTTGTTACGTGGTATTAGGAGGTGTCAAGATGTGGTAGGAGTCGTTAGGAAGTGTTGGGAGGTGTGAGGATGAGACAGTCAATGATCAGTGTTTAGTTGTGTTGTAAATAGTTTGTAGTGTTGTTCTAAACGCTACCATTTATTGTTGGAAATATACCCGTTAATTAACTACTGGCTGGTGCCAACTTCGCTAAGAAAAGAATAGTGAATCGGGGAATAAATACACTGCAGTAACAAGTGATATTAAACTTTAATAACAATGAAACTGAGTACATGTAATTCGTTTGAACGCCACGGAACGAAGCAACGAAATGACCGCCGCATGGTCGTCGTTTCCCACTCCACGCAACCTGCTAAACGCGTTCAAACACCTGCTTGCATGGAGCGGTACGCCTTAAGGGGAATCCCCTCATTATTGCCATTGTAGTCGCCATCTAGCTTTGAAGAGATCAAACTAATTTTCGGTTCTTGTTCAGCATCTCTGGCGGTAAAACGCCCCAAACTTGTCGATATATAGTTCTTACTTTTCACGCTAGATGGCGCCATTAAGGTACTCTTACTCGATCCCTTTGCGGTCCATTGAAATAATCCATTGAAATCAGAGAATTTGGACCGCAAAAGGTTAAATTAATCATAATATTAATTCGAGTATAATAGTTTCACTGATATTAAACCTAGTATATGTCATTATATGTATCGAAACATGAATGAACTGAAAATTTAATCAGCCTCTAAGGGAAATGAATATAATTGATAATATCAGTGACGACATCTTAGAGAAAATGTGTTTCAAATATATGTTTTACACTTTTTCTTATGGACCCTTTTCCATTAAGTGATACCTACACCGCTTCCCGTGTTTCCTAGATCATCCCTGATCATCCCTTCTTTTTCATCGCGTCCAAGAGGGGATGGAGCCAAGGTGTTTGACGTCAAGACCGCTAAGAGAGCCATCGCGCGGCAACGAGTACATCATACTCACTCGTTTGAAGATCAGGTACCGACACGGTTACCGATTTCGCTCGTGAAAAAACGCGCGGTACGGTTTTTTTTATTTTTTACTCGTTAGCGGATGTGCCCCCTCGCGATTTTCGGTAACGCTTACCGTTTTCGTTCGCCCACGGCGGTCTTGATGCTGGAACGAACATAATCGCGCGGAGTTGCTCGCTCATCCTTGCCAACTGTAGACGGAAGTCGACAGGTAAGGCAAAAACGAAACGCGGTGACTTCGTTCGACGCGTAAAATCATTTGTTGTTTCGAGTAATCGGCTTTCAGTGATCGCTCCTCTTCGGCTACGTATACAGAGATGGGCAAAACATTTCTAACTAGCTAACAATTTCCAAATAACGAACGAAAGATGAACACGAAATTCAAATTTATGTTGCGGTATAAAATATATTAAAATGAATATTTTAATTGAATCACGACTGAGAGATAATAGTCGTATTCGAAAAGACTGGTTTAGAAACAGAACTACAGTCAAACTCCGCCTCTTGCATATGTATCAGCATAAATATAACGTGTTCATCTTATACGTACCCTTACATAATTGCGCAACAAAGATGCTAAATAAAATAGATAAAAATAAATATAGAGCAAACTGAAGATATCGAGATTTGTTGATAGTTCGATCCATTAGTCGTTGGATTTGGCTCTCTTCGAGAGATATAATCGAATTAGACGCAGAATTTCAAAAAGACTGGAGGCTCCACGAACTGGTTCCGAGGCGTTTGGACAAGTTACGAAAATGAAAATCAATGGTTCGAATAACAGAGCGATGATTCTCGTTTTCGTTTAACTGAACATTTTAGTTATTAAATCGAGGATTCGTTACCTATTATTCGAATCGAATTTTGCCCGTCTCTGCTCGTACCGCTTCGGTATAGTTCGGCGATCCGTGACGGACATTTTCAAATTCAGCGTCGTAATTATATATTCAATGCCATCGAATGTGAACTTTAAACGCGTAAAAAAGATCGGCGTGTATCGTTTTAAAATTTAACTTTTCAATCATTAGAAATATACAAGGAATTCGTTTCTGGTTCGTTTACTTGGAATCTCTTAATTTCATTTTTGCACTCGAAGGGATATCACGATCATCTTGACAATCGAAACGTAGCCTGATAACTAGACTGCGGATCTTCATGCAAAATAAAATCTTTTGCAAAACGTACCCAAAAGAACTGTACCTAAACAGGAATTTATTATCTTAATTTGTTCTCTAAAAATCTCTAAAACGCTTCATCTATTACTTCGCTCTGCGAATATCGCGATACAAACTTTACTATTATATCGTTTGATAAAATTTCGTATAAATGCATAAAAGTCCACAGTTAATTAACAACGAATCGAATGAACTCGTCAGGTGTTCGCCCCTGTGAAAATAACCGCGACGTTCTCCAAGTATATTTCTTTCTTACACGAAGAGCGCGTCACCTCCGATTTCTTTGGTTGCGATCGACGAATGTTTGTGCATAAGTGATCATGTCTGTAAAAGAGATAAACGAAAACAGAACACTATCATTACACAGTGAAAGAGAACGGGGAGACAGTTGACTTCTTGCGAACGATTAAAATTTTCGTAAGCGAAAGAACAAAAGGAAACGGCGGAAGGTGATTAAATTCCGATGGAAGACGAAATTGTCGAAAGGTCGTTCCACGCCAAGTCGATCACCATTTGCGCCCGGTATCAGGAACATTGATGATGTTAAGACACTGGTTCGCGTACGACTAGGCCGAGTTGAAGATATTCGCTTCCTGGCTCGAATTTCTCTGAAATATACATAGAGTAATGCGTATCGAATTCATGTTTTACAATTGCTTTTATAACTCTGTCAACTACATTTAATAATTGCGTCGTTGGACACTTTTTCAATGACATAGTTGCTTAACACGTTCGCGCCGGCGTGTACCACCGGTGGCTCACACGTATACAGGGTGTCCCAAAAATGTTGTAACACCTTGAAATGGGTGGTTCGGGAGGTGATTTGAAACAACTTTTTCCTTAGCGAAAATGTTGTCCGAGGCTTCGTTGAGGAGATATTAACGGAAAAGCCCGACCAATCAGAGCGCGCGGATACCGTTGGAGCGGCCGCGGTAGCGAGGGCTACGAGCTGAGCGGCCGTGTCCCCAATGTCCTTCGATGCACGTCGAGTCACTTGTTCGTGTACAACCGCAGCCACTTAGCACATAGCCTTCGCTACCGCGGCCCCTCCAACGGTATCTGCGCGCTCTGATTGGTCATTGTTTTCCGTTAATATCTCTTTAACGAAGCCTCGGACAACATTTTCGCTAAGGATAAAGTTGTTTCAAATCACCTCCCGAGCTACCCCTTTCAATATGTTACAACATTTTTGATGAGATAGTTGCTTAACACGTTCGCGGCGGCGTGTACCACCGGTGGCTCACGCGTATATATCCCAACGGGCGGCGTGTACCACCGGTGGCTCACGCTCGCGTGTTTATCGAATGACGTGTATCCCCGCGCCGTCCCATGGCGCGAAACACAAATAGCAGCGCCGCCGTGAAACGTTAAAAGTGTGAGTACACGATAACAATAAAAAAAAAGTTACACTCATCCTTTAGTAATGTACACTCGCTTACCTACACAGGAAGTAGCCAAAATCGTCCCATCTTCGTCTAGCATACTGCGGATATCCTGTCATAGACAATAGAGGTTCTCAGTTTTTTCAAATATTCCAGGTACTTTATCGAATCGTCAGCAGGCTCCTCGTTACGTTGTGCGAGGTGCACGATCGGTTCATCCGTTAGAAAATTATTCGTTCGAGAACTGGCTGGCTCGCACGGCTGAAATGGGACGATGCACAAATCGCATCCAATAATCGCGCGCAATTGATTGCTCAACAAGTCGACGCCGCGATTGACCCATTAATTTCCTATTAAAGAAAAGGACGAGTCGTAAGAACATTGTGTACAAACAGTTTGATAGAATCAATTACACTAGCTTGGGTTCGCGATGAAAAATTGTTGAAGCAAAAAAAAAAAAAATGGTTTGCCGGGATGGAGGTCGAACGGGGCGACGTGTTTATGTGAACTTTTTTCACTGTTTTCGTGTCCTCGGTCAAGTGGGTCGCACGCTTTACAAACGTTGGACACGTTATAATTTTGTTATAATTTTTCCAAGTTTACGATGCAATGAATTTAATTTAGTTCGTGTCAAAGGTTGAAATTATTGGTACGATTGCTCGAACGAGGGTTCAATTAATGCAGCGATGGCCAGTGAAACTCTTTCAAAGGTATAATTGGCACCATTGAAACTATTATGAGCCCGCTGATATCGTTTGTAGACTTCATTCAAATGATATGTGCGGCACAGTGCTTCTCAAATTTCATCTTCCAAGTGATTTCACGTCGCGAATCACAACGCGATTACGATATAATGTAGTTTTGTAGTAATTGGATTTGTTGGGATGTAAGAATCGTTTCATGGTTGAAAACCATTCAGGTTTCCTTATTAAATGTAATCAAATGGAATGTAATCAAACGGAGTGAATATGGATACATTTTGCGTTCGATGATTACATTAATCGCTCAGCTAAGGGACAGATTATGTGTTTGATTACACTATTCGCCGAGGTACGGGATCGCGTTAGCCTTTGATTACATTGATCGCTTGGCTATGAGATTAGTTTTGCGTTAATAACAAATTAGTCTTGCCTTTCTCGTATTCTAGTAAGTCGGTTTTCGACCACTGTCGCTCGATCTATGACCGAGGACCTGTACATTTTTCCTGTTTAAGAGGTCTTTCAAAGAAGTTTGGAAGCCGGTGGTATAATGAAGATAAGCTTTTGCGAATATAAATAAATTGAATTCTCCTCCAGCGGCGCAGCAAAAAGTTAGCCTTTATCGAGGGGAGTCTGCGGAGAGGTGAAGTTTGAGAAACACTGATATAGCGTGAGATCGGTATGGTCAGCCGAGCGCGTGGGTCGATTACCTGAAACTGGTCGCCGTGATGTTAATTATAAAATCCTAGAAGTAACCTTATTTCGTAGCGAAAGTATCACGGAGTGCACTCTTTACTTTGTCAGATTCCGAAACACAATCATGGAACTAGGGGTGTGCGGGATCCCGGTCCGGGGACGGGAATTCCTCCCGCGATCGGGATGGAATCCCGAGAATTTCAAAATCCCGAATACATCCGGGATTCCCGTGAATTTCCAGGATCCCGAAACCATCTCGGGATTCCCGAGAATTTCGAGATCCCGACATTCTCGGGAATCCCGCACACCCCTACATGGAACATCTAACCACGCGTACCTCTCTCTCTCTCTCTCTCTTTCTCTAGCAACCGATCTCTCCCGACACCATTGATCTCACTCGAACCATCCTGTACATATTGCGAACCAAATGCGAACCTATCCACACGAAAATGAAACGGTGTAACATTCGACGGTCCCGTGTAATGGGAACGAATCGAAATCCATGGATACGATGACTTAAACCCACCCTATTTTCACGCCAACTACATCATGTTTCAATTTCGTCAAAATCCCTGGCACCGAGCACAAGCAGCGATCGATTTGGCATGGAACAACCTCGAAACATTTTGGTAGACTATATTACGTCCTCGAGGTCGAATACCCTTTCGGTTTCGACGCTCCTTCGCCATAAATCTGGCGGTTCGTTGCTCCGGTTCTCGCGTTTCGATCGGCGAACGATCTCGATCTGAACCCCGAGGATATATCGAGGCTTCCCGATAAGTGGCCAGGATGTCTCGAGTAATAACCACGGCTGGGCGCGACGAGAAATTGGCTTCCTTTCTTAACAAGTTCTGGTTTAAGGTGTGTGAAAATGCCGGATACTAAGGCAATTGCACAGCTGACAATCACAACGTGAGCGGGGTTTGTTCGTTTACGCGGATCATCCGGGGGATAATGATTACAGAACAGTCCTGGACCATGATGCTGGACAGCGATGTCGCGGGCATCAATGAGTAAGTATTCGACTCGGTCTATCGTATACTTTCTTTTTTTCTTTTTCTTGCTTTCCATTCTCATTTCTCTAACACTTCTATCTATCTCTATCTTTCTTAACTCGTTCCTTTACGATTAGAAAAGAAACTATATATACATATACATATACCGTACATACTAGGAAGACTCTCTCAATTGTTTCGTTTGTTTAATGCGACACATCATTAACACAATAACACTGTTCGGTAAGTGTCACATTGTCAGGTGTTCAGACAAGATTTCATGCATTTGGTGGTGTATATATACACGATTGCATCGTACCTGCATAGCCAGAGGTGGGCAGCATTTTGTTCGAATAAATAACAAAGGAAAAAAAAATGGAACAGAATTTTCTTCCCATTCCTTAAAAAAAAAAAAAAAGAAAAACAAAAGTTTCTGCTCCTTTCACTAAATTATGAAAATTGTACAGTAAAAGAAAATCTGATATCGATACGCGAAACACAAAAGATATTGTTGATCTTTTACATTGGATGAGAATTTTGCCCACCCCTGCCCGCATACGCACACATTTCTGTTCACGAACACACGATTGCTCTTCCTTTGGTGATATTTTACGCGCAGCGTATTCGAACGATGGACCGTGTCTGGTTCGATATTACCTCGCATTTAAAAATATGTGTGCACTGATTATGATGTATCTCGTCCATGCATTTTCCGCGTACGTTGTTATTCTATGTCGCAAGACGCTGCGGGATACGCACGTATTTATTTGTGGAGCAGGGCAACGTGCTCGAACCGCATACACGCAGTCACCGTAGTCTATTCACGCTAAACGCTAAACGCTAGACGTTTCAGATGTTCGAGAAAGTACGAGAGAGTTACATTGTAATTTTATACTTGACTCGGTAATCACGGTGCGAAGTTGTCTTGGAAATACTTTGCAAAGATGGACATTTATCGAAGTCTTATAGTTCTCTCCGCCGCTATTTTTATTCTCCTTGTATCTTCCCGATAGTGTTATCAATGGGTAGACGAGAGTTTCCCGATGAAAATGAGTCCACACACGATAGTATTTGAACGATGTTCGATTATACTGTTTAAGAGGCACGTGGGTTGTCTTAGACAGGGTTTACTGTAACGAGTCCGAATGAGGTCGTGTTTGGACTCATTTTAATCGGCGAATCCTCGCCAATTAATTGGCGATGCTTTCACAATAGACTTGCGTGACTGACTGTATATCGATAGTGTCTGTGTGGAATCGTATCGATGGATAGGTAATATTCGAAGCGTTCTGAAGAAGGAAATTTCATGTTAAAAGTTATCAAAGTGTATCTTCTCGAAACAATTTGCGTATTAAGTTACATACATACATTGTACCTACAAGAGTAAACATTCATCGTGAACATTCATCCTTCAAATTAAACCCATCCACGATCACTCGATGTACACGTGTATCATCGCTGTTATCTTCTTTTCTTTTTTTTTATGATTTACATGTTCGGATCGATAGGAATCAAACCTGAAAATAGCCAACGTTAGTAACAAGACCATTGTTTCTCTTCGATGAGACGGACATTCTCTGTTGATTTGCATAAATGTTGACTAAACGGATAAAATAAACGCATAAAACATGTTTACCTACTTCATCGTCGTGACCTATATGAATGTAATCGTAACTTATCTAATTGTACACTGCTCAAAATAATCAAGGGGAACCAATCTAAATAAATAGAGGATACTTGACGAGGCTCTCTGATTATTTAACTTCGCCACTGTAAAAGCTGCAAACATTCCGTCGAATTGTTTTGAGCAGTTTCACGTTTCAACTGGGGGCTGGGACTGTTCCAACGATTCGATATTCGAATGAAACTCGATCGGCCAAGTATCGAAACGGGTTCGAATGGTTCAAGCGGTCCCAGCTCTCTGCTTCTGTCGCGTCTCGAGTGGTGTCAACGTGCATTCGGTGTCAGTTCTATGGAGATGTTTCGTGATCCTGAGTGTTTTAAATGTTCTTTGTCAGTTTGAGCGTAGGTTGCCAGAGAAAATTAATCGTGTCCTTCTCTTTGACGCCGATAGGTTGAGTATTTCCCCGAGGAAACAATTATGGATCAAGGCAGTGAAGAAGCTGACCTCCGAGAGGCTGGGCAGAGAGGGATTGGCGGCGTGGCAGGACAGGGCCTCCAACAACGACCCAGAAGTTCCGGAACCTGAGGAAGACCTCGAACCTGACGATCCAGACACCGATCCCGACGAGGGTCTCGCCGATGAACCTGTCGACGCTGAAGCTCAACCGCAACCAGGTACGTTAGAATTTCGGAGATTTACGGTAGGATTTTATTCGACAATGCCGGTGGATGTCATCATTGACACAATGGCGGTGCAGGGCTCGGAGTTAACACGTTGGTCGCCGCGTCACCCAGAAACGGGTGACAGGACTTATCATCGATAAACTAAACAAATTAATTCCAAAGGTAAGACGATAACGAAAATATAAAATCTGTATAAGTTCCGTGTACTTGATAACGTCCAGAAATTAAATAACGCGACAAATGTTGAATTATGTAATCTGGTCTCGTGAGAAAATTTGACTTTTATATACATTTTCACGAGTTTTAGCTTGGTAGTCAACGTGTTAACGCGTTCCGTATCACCGGCGATACACGTAGACAAATTTCTTTAATTTGTAACTAATCCATATTACTAATCTGCGCGTTAAAAAATCCACGTTATGCATCCCAGCCTTCGGCTATAAATACGAGTGGATATTTTCAGATGTTTTCAAGAAAGGAGTCCTCTATAAGGGAATATTCTGTCCGTCGCTGTCGAACAGTTTCCATAGCAAGCAGCTGGAGATCTCGTACCTCCATTACTCGAACCGTCAACGGCAGAAGTCGCTGATAATGCTCAACATCGTCGATCTAAGCCTAAAGGTACCGTCGATCAATTCGACCATACAGATTCGATCGCATGAAGCCGTACACAGGGTGTGCAAGAAAGTTTGTGCCAAACTTGCATGTTCCGTTGCTTTCGCATAAGAGTGGCTTAGCTCTGGACTCTCGGAACCCGGGACCCTAAAAAAGAACTGGCGATTACAAAATGTTCATATACAGTCGATCCCATAAATATTCGTACCCTCTCTATGTCTATCGAAGAAACTTGACTAAATTAAATATATTTATACAATATATTTATACAAACGTACACGAAACCTACCATTTCATTTAAACTTTCTCGGATAGATATACAATAAAAACTGCATAAGTGCAAGAAGATGCGAGCAGTGTATGATCCTAATCGATTGATACGCTCTTCTGCCGACTGCTATTTTTCCTCGGACCTCTTTCGCTTTCACTCTTTACCCTTTTCTACGTTCGACTCGAGCCAAATGTAAACACTTGAATAAATGCAACGTTTGGGTCCCGATTTTCTTGCATTTATCCAGTCCTTACTGCAGAGGCTACGAGTATTTACGGGACCGACTGTATCTTTTTCTAAATACAAACTGTCTCTTCGATACATCCGGCTTAATGTCTGCCTTTTTATAAGTCAATGTACGCTTTCGCTTATCTCTGTGGAAAGTATTGCCTTCTTCACGATACAGCGCACAGTTTCGTTTCTATTAATGTAGTGGCTAGCGTATGACTGAAAGGTGGCTTTTGAAATACTGTTTACAGTTGCGAACACGATTTTTCTATCGGATGCGAATTGACCTCGAGCCAAAACGATTTTGACAGTAGAGGATATGCGTTAGAGGATGAAATGCGGGCATGAACTCCGCGCCTTGCTGCCGGGGAAAGAATCCAGTCTCGAAGCGAGGAACTACTCTGTCTGGCGCACACTTCTTTGCAAACCCCGTGCTATTGTTTATCGGAGTCCTGGAGAGGGTGCCCCTGGATGGAAGTCAATCCCAGTAGAATCTTTCAGAAAGATTTTTCTAGTGATTTAGAAAAGGTAAATTTAGAAGTTTACCGTTCACGATGGGGAAGTTTAAAAATTGGTCGTCGTGTTGTACAGGATAAACGAACGATCGATAGATGGCCCGAATGATGGACGAAAGAATCTATGGAAGAAGCATTGAAGTGCTCTTTCTTTGTTTATTCTATTATTCTTCGTCTCGATGATCCATGGATCCTTTGGTCCACGATATTAATGAACCTGTCCAGGGGCATTCTTTGCATCTCCCCGCAGTACATTGTCATTATCGTTCTTCCTCTGACGCGGGACCATGCGCAGATGGTTCTCATGGCGATATGGCTGTGGCAAAGGGAAGAGGGCAGCGGCGGTCTCATCGAATCCTTATCCTGGGCGTCCTGTTGCATGGCGGCGAACCTGGCGGTGTGCATTCTCGGCTGGTGGCGGTGTTTCTCCAATAATTACTTACACTGGGCTTCCATATTCACTTGGTTACTGATCAACTCGCAAGGTGACGATGCGCCAGGGGTCGGAGTATCACTCCTGACTCGTCGAAACGGGATACACGCGGTCAGAACGTGAAATTGTAAAGTGTAGCTTGCAATGTTATTGTTTAGGGATGTACACGGTGAGACACGTGTACGTGTATGTGTATATATATATACGATCACGAGAAGATCGTATCTCCATTTACCGAATAGGGTCTTGCTCCACTGGCTCGTGCGTTGGCGGTCCAGCGAATTGCTTGAATGTCCAGCGAACCGTAGAGGGAAACGCGGTAGAACGAACTTGTACCAGGCGTGGGTTACTATCGATTGACGATCCTTCTAGCACTATTTAACCCTAGAGAGACTATGGTAGGGGGAGAATGTTTGCGCGGTGCCTACCGGTCGGAAATTGTACAATATTTACAAAATATCACCGAGTAACGCTGGCAGTTACGTGTACAGTTTGAATCTATTATTATTTGTTTTTTTTTTTTTTTTTTTTGAGTCGTTCAATTTCATCTTCCTTGGCGAAGATAAATTTTCTTACGAGTCGAGCTTGAAAATGAAGAGGGGTTGACTGTGAATATTGATGAACGTTTCACGGTTCGCTGTCGATTGCAGGTTTTATAGGAGCCGGTCTAGACTTCTCTAGCCAGCAACGTCTAATGTGGTACATTTTGTTTGTCGTGTACGCACCGTACGCCATGCTGCCGTTGCCTTTGAGATGGTGCGTCCTCGCCGGTTACGGAACAGCTTTAACGCACATGGTTATGGCGGGAATAACTTTATTGCGAGACCCGACATACGTAAGAATCCCTTGGTCTAACGTTTCTGCTTCACCCACCACCACGCTTTATCCTTTTCCATCCATTCACTTTCTGCTTATCATTATTCTCCTAAAAAGTTTCTGTTCTTCTCTGTCAGCGACATTTCGTTGTCTCTCCAATTCGCAGCTTTCTCTCTCTCTCTCTCTCTCTCTTTGTTGTGGTCTCTTGTATCTTTTCTTTTTTTTTTTCTGTTAAATACACTTCGTTTTGCTATTGCAGCTGCACGATGTCGCGTGCATAGTACGAATGCTAACGACCAACGTCCTTCTTTATCTTGCAATGAATCTAGCTGGCATGTACACTAAGTATTTGACAGACAGAGGACAGAGGCAGGCTTTCTTGGAGACCCACAGATCAATGGAGACCAGGCAGAGGACGCAGAATGAGAACAACCGACAGGAGAAGTTGCTACTTTCCGGTGAGATATATGCTTCCTACATTTCGCGCCTGGAGGTCTAAACGTAGAGCGAACTGCGATTAGTATTTGGCAAATACTATTTGCTCGTTGGTAGTTGCGAGAGGCTAACTGGATGGTAGGATGAAATAATGAACAGAGGGGAGGGGAAATTGCTAATTTACGTGCTCCTTTTGCCATGGGGGTCCATGTTGAATCAACGCTAAACCCACAGACGTTTCATTCGCGTTTCTATTTCTACCGTGATTGTACCATGATAAATAAAATTCAATAATACATGAAACAGTCGTATGTAATTTGCAGTCAGTCCCATAAATATTCGTACTCTCTGTGTCTGTAAATGAAATTTATTTGAATTAAGTGGTTTCATGTTTCCAAGTATATGTTTGTATAAATATCTTTATGTATATATAAATATATATATGTATATATATAAATACATTTATATAAATATGTATATATAAATATATATATATATAAAATTTATATACATGTACAAGCTTATTCATATACATACAGTCAATCCCCTAAGTATTCGTACCTTTTACGTCTATCGAAGACATTTGTTTAAATTGATCGATGAAAACGGCGGTAGGTTTAGCGTCGAGTTTCCTGTTCTATTGTTCTGGTTAGCGTTACGTATGGTCCCCATAAATATACACGGGGTTGTATAATTACGTATCGACATGTTCGACAGGTATGAAATATATTTATACGTATGTCGAACGTGCCGCTGCAGTATATAAAGACGCCAAGGGGGTTGCGCCGCAAGCACGGGGTTCGTCGGCGCGTGTAACTTGCTCAGCCGAGTGTCAAAAAGGGTCACTAGACACTTTCACTCGATTGCGCCAGATATGTTTTACCGATAGCCTGGCGGTACTTTGCTTTTGCATATTATCGATTCCAACGGCGATGATTCGTTTAGGGAAACCACGTGAAATACAACCGAAAGTAACGGAATAGTAAAAAGTCCCGGTACGAGTTGTACGATTTTACATTTTATCACGATGTTATACACGCTGCGTCCCGAAAGCTACCGTTTATTTTGCCGAAACAGGTCCTATAGTCGACGTCGCTTTTTAAAACGTCCCGTTCTATTTTAATACGTGGCTCGTGAATTGTTAGCAATAATAATCGTTCAAAAGTCGTGAATGTCTGTTATAGTATTGCCAGATTTCGTGGCCAAAGAAATGATCAGTGATATCGCCCGTGAAACAGCTCGAGGTGGAACCATCTCCTTTACACCCAATCAATTTCACAGAATATACATCCATCGCTACGAGAACGTTAGCATACTCTTCGCTGACATCAAAGGCTTCACCGGTACGTAGTTACTTGTACGATATGTTGAGTCGCTGCGAAATTATATTCATGTTCTATCAAACGATCAACGTTGACTGGCGGTACGTATGCGACGTAAGCTAATATTTTCTCATGCAACCTATTGTCCTACGATGGAAGGTAGTATAGCGAAGTGGTTCTAGTTAAATTGATAGGTAATACTCGATATCGTATAAACGTTGATAGTGGACTAGGCAACACGATTGGCTCAGAGTCACAGCGAGCACGCCAACTAATGGCGCGCTCCTTATTCCTATTCTGAATTAGTACTATTCCAGTATACCGTACAAAGTAACATTGATTCTTTTTCACCGAAATGTCTCGTGCTCTACAATGTTGCAGCTTTCAAGTACTATGTCACTAACCCTTCAACTCGTTTAATGCGTTGTTTGAACTTCTATCATAGCGTTGGCCAGTCATTGTAGCGCCCAGGAGCTCGTCAAGGTGTTAAACGATTTGTTCGCGCGTTTCGATAGACTCTCCGCGGAGAATCATTGTCTGCGTATAAAGTTACTCGGGGACTGTTATTACTGCGTCTCTGGACTACCCACCGCCAGGAGCGATCATGCTCACTGTTGCGTCGAGATGGGCATGCATATGATTAAAGCTATAAGGGACGTACGATACACCACGCAGGTATTTATCGTTCTACATTCTCTCTAGAAGGTAAAAGTGACGTTGATTAAATAGTACAATTAATAAGAAACAAAAAAATGCGGTTTCAGGTTGACCTGAACATGAGAATAGGGATCCACAGCGGGTCGGTGCTGTGCGGTGTACTAGGACTTCGAAAGTGGCAATTCGACGTCTGGTCCTATGACGTGACGCTGGCTAATCACCTCGAGAGTGGAGGCATACCTGGGTAAAGTTTCGCGTCGACATGCATCTCAGATCTCTTTGTTTCGGTACGGTTGGTGGCTCAGCTAACATGTAACAAATAAATGAATGCGTTTAAGGCGGGTACACATCTCGGAGGACACCCTGAATTGTTTAAACGACGTGTACGACGTGGAGCCGGGAAACGGTACCGAGAGGGACAATTACTTGAAAGAGAGGAACGTGGTGACTTACCTGATCAAGCAATTGGAGCCTGTGAAAAACAGGCGGAGGTTCTCCACGCGTCCTAAAGTTATGTCAGAGGAGGACGCTGGGAAAAGTAAGAAGAGCTTCAAAGTGAACAACCCGTTGGCTGCGAACATAAGTGCTCCGAATACGTCGACGGACGACGAGATCGGAGTCGACTGGACGCCAGAGATTCCGTTTGAAAACGTACTATCAACTGCTAATTAACTACAATTCTTTTATTATATTATTGGGTTGTCCAGAATGTTCGTGCCAATTTTTAAGAAAAATTCAAAGGCACGTTTGAATTAAATTATATTAAATTATATATGTACCATTTTGTTCCATAACCTTTCCACCTGTTAAGGAATGTACACATGTTATTTGTTTTCAGCTATTCCAATATATATTCAGACCTGTACCGTCTACTAAAAATCGGCACGGACTTTCCAGACAGCCGAATAGCAATTTCATTTAAAAGAGAAGTACACTCGATAGTGTTGTCTAACCGATTCACTTAATTTTCTTTAATGTATAGTTGAACACGTCGTCATCGGTTAGTAATTTAGAGTCGGAGTATCTCGAGGAAGAGAACGGTTCTGCTAAGAATGCGAAAGCTGCAGCGTCTGGACTGAGGGCCGCGGGCCTTGAAACAGCGAGCAACAAGCGTATGAGATTGGCGAACATAAACGCTTGGACTTTGCGCTACAACGACGAAAGCCTAGAATCAAAGGTCAGTTTGGCGTTAACGTACTATTCCCTTTTAAATACAGGTACAATATTCTGGTAATACAAATCCATATGTTCGCAGTTCGGCCAATTGCGGGAGGATATGTTCAAGTCCAACATGATCTGTTGCTTCGTTGTGTGGATATTTATCGCGATCTGCCAGGCTATTATATTGCCAGAGTAAGCGTTTCAATTACCTCTTCGATGGGCTGTGCTCTCACCATGCCTCGCTCCACCCTGTCCACTTTAACACGTTGGCTGCCAAGCTAAAACTCATTAAAATTTCTATAAAGTTAAAATGTTGTCTCCATACAATTGAACGCCAGATAATTTGATATCTGTCGCGGTATTTAATTTTTTAACGTCGTCAAATTCACGAATCCTGTCCAGATTCATTGTCATCGTTGTCTCATCTTTGAAATTAATATTCTTAGATCCTTAATGGAAAGTCCTGTCACCTATTTCTGGCTGACGTGGCGACCAACGTGTTAAGCAACGAATGTTCCAAAGGTGTGAATTACGTTTTATTTCTAAGTATGAGTTACATTTCCAAACGGTGAATTTGATTAACAATCCTGTTCGAGCACTATCACTGTGCAAAGGTCCATTAATGAGTAAGCGTTAACCATCTTCTTCTAAATCTGACGCAACACCGTTGAATCCTTTCAGCTGTACGATCCTCCTGCTCTCTCTGCTGGCGACAACGTTGGTCTTGGTGGCGTCGTCCATCCTGGTGATGGCGGAGGAGTTCAAGAGTCTCCCGACGTACCTGCAGCACGCCTCCTCGATGCTGGTTCACAATAAACAGCATCGAACGATCTTCATATGCAGCGTGATCAGTTTGATGGCACTGACGTCGATCGTCGGGGTCCTCGCGTGTCCAGCGTCCATACGACGGTACCCAGAGGCCATGGTACTCGAACGACAGCAACTGACTACGCCAACTTTGCAGCCAGAACGACTGGTGGCCACGACTGTCGGCCTGGACCAGTTCATACTGACGTTCCTGGAGACAGCTCTTCGCGACGAGTCTCCCGAGGAACGGAGAGACGGATCCCGCGAGGAGAATCACACCGCGCCCCACTTACCCAACGACATTGGAACTTTATTGGCCAGACCTGGTAACGGAGGGGCTAACTTGGCGAAAGGTCGAAGAAGAAAAGAATCGTTCAGGTTTTACAGTCACGAGCAACGCCACGAAATCATGGTGGTCGAGAATCCCCTGAATAGCTGTCCAAAACGATGACCTTGCTATCTCTGATTTATTTCTATGTACACGGAGGTGTATGGAACGCCAAGTTGCTATTTTTAGGTGACTTATTTATGGTTGACTTATATTCGGAGGTTTAGACGCAGATGAAGAACGGAGGACAGTTTACTTTCGCATTTTGTAGCGCATCCTATGGATCACGTAGCTTCCAGCATCTTAGATCGTTGATATATTATTCTTGATGCTATTGATAACCATACGTTATTCCGTTTCATAATGTCGAAGAAGATATCTTTGGTCAGCTTTGGGGGATTTTAGACATCGTAGAAAGCCATTATAAATGACTCGTGATCGTAGGGACGAGGATGTTGACTTGAAGAAGACAACGTCGACGCCACAGACGGAGCCTCGAGCTGAACCTTTGTATTCTTCGGATTACGACGAGGACATAGTCCTGGGGACCACCTGTGTTCGACCTGAATACATGGTGTTCACGTGGATCTTGTGCCTCATAGCGCTCGCCTCGGCTCTTAAGCTGTATTATCTTGTGAAGACAGCGTTAGCTACCATCATCGTGTCCGTCTACGCTGTGCTGATCCTCGTGGTCTGCAAGGACTTCTTCTCTATCCCCGACGAGGAGAGTTCGTAAGTCTTTCCGAGTTTTCAGAATGGACTTCAGGGTACGTCGTTTCTGACATGACACCGACTCAATTGTATTTTAATGAGTCGAAAAAGATCGCGAACCTTCCTTTAAATTCTACCACGAGCAGTGACAATGACCTGCTTTCTTCGGATTTTTAGACCGTCGATACCTCTCTCGGCGCAGATGTTGACGTTTCTGTGCGTGTTCCTCGTGATGGTCACATACCATGGCAGATTAGTAGAGGTGACGTCCAGATTAGACTTCCTGTGGAAACAGCAAGCCGAAAGGGAGCTGAGCGATATGATAGAGTCGCGTCACAACAACATGCAGCTGTTGAAGAATATTTTGCCAGACCACGTCGCTCATCACTTCCTCACCCAGGAACGAGCGCCAGAGGTATTTTTCCTTGGCGAAGCCAAATATCAAGCGTCTTCCTTTCCTTATTTTCGATGTATTTTAGGAACTGTACTCTCAATCGCGGGATAAGGTGGGCGTGATGTTCGCCAGCGTACCGAACTTCACCGAGTTCTACTCCGAAGACGTGAATAAAGGAATGGAGTGCATCCGTTTGTTGAATGAAATCATAGGTGAACTCCCACGGCTTGGCATACCTCGCTCGGAATGTTCTACTAATTTTAATCTGTTTTCGTGTTCATGTATTAGGTCGTGCAAATATGTACTGGCTCCTCTTCAAGTACATGGTCCATTTAAAAGTGTTTAATCATAATAAGTAATTCGGATATTTAACATCACTGTCATTTCTCTTTGTAACATTTGATACAACACCGATGGACCATGTTTTAGGCTAATACATGAATACACAAATTTAGTAGCCCGGTATAATCCATGTTCCAATGACTCCGACGATTCCTTTTCAGCTGATTTCGATGAACTCCTGGACGAGAATCGGTTTCACTGCATCGAGAAGATAAAGACAGTTGGCGCGACGTACATGGCGGCTTCTGGTCTCAATCCGAGCGAAAACGTAATTTCCTTACGATTGTGACACTAAGATTACTTCTCTCGAATCCGACTTGAGCTTAAGGATGAACAATGTTCCTCTTTCAGGATACAAACAAGGACGACATGGAGCATCTTTGCAGATTAGTGGACTACGCGGTAGCCATGCGACTACGTCTCGAGGACGTCAACATCCACTCGTTCAATAACTTTGATCTGAGAGTCGGGATCAGCTGTGGCGCGTTGGTTGGCGGTGTCATCGGTGCTAGGAAGCCCGTGTTCGACATCTGGGGCAATACAGTGAACCTGGCTTCTCGTATGGACTCCACAGGAGTCATGGGGAAGATACAGGTTCCGCAGGACATTGCTAGGGTAATTACAAACATGTACAATTAGAAAAAAAAGAAAATGTACGAATACTAGGGGTGTGCGGGATCCCGATCGGGATGGGAATTCCTCCCGGGATCGGGATGGAATCTCGAGAATTTCAAAATCCCGAATACATCCGGGATTCCCGTGAATTTCGAGATCCCGTACATTCGGATTGCTGAAATTTTCAAGAATACCAACACTTTCGGAAATCCCAGATATTATTCTATAGCCCGGACATTTTACGGGAATTCCGAATATTTTCGGGAATCCCGCACGCCCCAAAACGAATACATTTGCAAACTTTTGTTTTGCGCGACAGTTCTTGGAGTCGAGGGGATATCAGACCCAAAAAAGAGGACTCATCGAAGTGAAAGGCAAGGGAACGATGGAGACTTACTTCGTGCTGGGAAAAGGGTCCATGCAGCAGGAGGGCTCGACGAAACACACGACCAGATGTCGAAGTCTCGCGGCCGTCGTTTATGGTGTCGTTCAAGCTCGTCGCAAGCAAATGCGAGCGCTTCGAAGGACATAAACTTCGTAATCGTATCAGTTTCCCTGTACAATTTGTTGGTGCCTACTTGCGTAAATGGCTCACCTTGCGTGGCACTCGAAACAGAACATTTCATTACTTTCTCTTTCAGGATGATAACAAAGTATTTAGGACATACTTTTTTTTTTACATCTAGACGTATAAATAGCGTGATCCAATTTTTGTTAATTTTAAATAGTTACATGGTATCGTGTATATTATTGTTTATCTTTCAACAGAGACTTTTGAAACGAGTACCGACCAGTTATCGATTAGATATCAATTGAAATATCAAACCAGACTTTACTATCGATCGGTGGCAAAACGAATGCATATGGGTAGATTTAATATTTTTATTGCATTTTCTCTGCGTCCGTTATATTTTTGTTCTCCGTCGATCCGGGCTGATTTCGCGTATCGAGAAACAATAGATGTACGATGAGTATAATGTTGTTCGAGATTGTGTTACATCTAGTCAAACAGAAAACTGTGTCATGTAATGTAAGATATGTAACGGACACGAGCATGGACATGGTCGGGAGTTGCTTCAGCGTCGAGGGCTGTACGTTGCAAGGAATGAAAATAATTGTCGAACGTTGCAGGCAGCTTTTCTTTTTTGGGAAAAGTCAATTTAATAATAATTGCAAGGGCAGCAGCGTTCGTGTCGATAATTATAATGTACAGCACAGTCGAGCTCTGTGTAACTGTATATTACATTGTTATGGTAAACACAATATATTTTAATTAACCGTAATAATAATCCATGATAATAATAGTCGTAATGATAATAATAAGGCTAGCTACAGCGTGATCCCCCGCTCGAAGAGACCACCCGATTCCGACTGTACACTTTTACAACGTACTTCAATAATAATCTAATTACATTAATATAATTAGCATAATCATTACAATCTGAACCTAATTCGAAGAATGATGTCGCGACACGTGGGAGGGAACGTCTTGGTCTTTCGAGAAATCAATGTCTTTCGGAGTCCACGACAATCCTAGTCGTACTGTTTCAGCGATGGACAAAATTCTATTTGAATATGAAATATATTAACGAACAAATAGCTGTTTTCTCTTTTCACTCTTTGCCCATCGTTGTTCCATAACCTTTGCTTCCGGTACGATCCGAGCGCTGGTTAGAGAGGTTAGGAACGACGCGCATCGATTTCTCGAAAAACGACGTGTGGCGTCTCTTAAAAATTTCCGTTTTCCTTTCTTCCTTATTATTATTTTTTTTTTTTTCATTTACGATATAAAGGCACTGTACACGTAAACATACAATATATAGGAGAGCGCTATAGGCGGTCCAGATGTTACTTTTTAAACGGTAAAACGGTGGCCGTTGAAAAATATTATAATACGATCTTTTTTTTTTTCTTTTGTTTGTTTGTTTCTTTAACCGTTAAGACGTTACACGCTTAAAATAGGGGAGCGGTTTCCTTCGATTCTAGCTGCATTGGTCAACGCTATTCTTTTTTTTTTTTTTCGACGTTATAATATTTATATATTTATTTATACAATATATATGTATATCTTAAACGTTAAGGAAAAATATAGACGACTATTATGTATACCGAATGTGCAGAACTCACGGTAACTATTCAGGAGGAAAAGTAATTGGTCAATGCGATCAGAAGTTAAGAAAACGCTCCGGGTTAAAGGTTGGGATCTGTTTTTATCACAATTTGGCAGTGAACGTTTTCACGTTTAAAATACAGTTTTACAAGTTCTCTTCTTTAAGAGCTACGTATCGTGAATCTTCATCTCTTCCGTATTGTTTTCCCTCTTTTCTGCTATTGTGCTCGCTACGATTTCGCTTTTTTTCCCCCTTTCTTTACGAGAAATCGAAAATACTATTTCCTCTCCTAATATTCTCGGTTGTTCAGAAAAAAATAAATCTTTCCCTTATTTTCGTGTCTGTTCGTTAACCTCGTTAAGTACAGGGTGTCTCGAGACCGAATGCTGATCAAAATAATACCTGGCCTTCATTTATTTTATGCAACGTTATCGAACCTGGACAAATGAAAAATAATGACTGCATCAAATTCTGCGTACAAAAATTACACAAATTTTGTCTCGACCACCATGTTGCTATTTAGGTAATATTTTAAACGGCACTCGGTTCGAAACGCTGCATGTGAATTATTCATTCCTAGATCATGTAGCGAAAATATGTTTTGTGTAATGTTCTTTAAGATTCATCGTTATTTCTGATGTATCTTTTGTTTGTTTCTTTCGAACCAGAAATGAGCAAAATTATATACTGATACTTAGTAATGGGTAATAATGCCAATATATTCGATTGAATTTTTACTTTTTCGTTGTGGAATATTTTATTCTACAAATTATGTTCTCATTTTTATTCAATGAGTAACGATTGTTCATCCGTCGAATGTTTTATTTAGGTAAGAATTTTGCCCATCTCCAGAAAAGAGTTCAAGGAGAGGTCAGAGTGGTTGTTTAACCTGTTTCGCGGTAATTCGCTAGCGTCTTGTGAGCAATACTAAATCGCCATAAGATTATAAAACCAATGTGATTCTAAGGATTCGTTGGTATCAAAATACGATACTTCCTAAAGATCTGTGTACATACGTGCGGGATAAACAATCACGCGATCGTTGCGAGATGCAATTATTATACAATCCTGTTGCTTGTTTTTCGATATTAGAAAAAGAGAAATCAAGTATTTACATCTACTTACATTCCGTTAAAAGATAAGTTTCCAACGTATCCAACGTTTCGATACCGTTCTCTTTAGTCGCGTTTCTTTCTGTTTTTTTTTTTTTTCTTTGCTCAACCGAATCCGTCATGTATCATGAAACTTAACAAATGTAAAAGAATTAAAATTTTATGCTTTCTAAGTTTCGACGCACCTCGACCAGCGAATGTAAACTCATCGAAGACCGGTCCTGTTTCAATTAAGTGTACAATTTGATACACCATTAAAAGTTTACGCTAACTGATCCGTTGTTGCGAATAGTACACTTCGTATTTCTAATGTATTTTACGTTATTTCGCGTTCCTAACTTAAAACAACACTTTTGCAGGCTGTTAAAGAAATCTAGTACACCGCTTCGTCCGTAAAAGTACTGTTTTGCCAATTGTTCAAAGTTATATACTAGACTTTTAAATCATCCTGCATGATTACAGCATACATTGCAAAATCTGCTATTAAAATAATGTTTAAAAAAATCAATAAATTATAAAGAAAATGATTCCTTCGAATTGTAAACGTTTGCCTTTTATGTTCGTAGATATTTACTTCCTTTGAGGGTCTGTAAATATCCATTCGCGAGTTCACCCTTTCGCTGATAATTGTTTACGCATAATTTCATTAGAATTTCACAAAATTTTCGTTAAATTGTGGACATCTCCATTTCCAAATAACAGGACACATACATTATTCGCGAGAACAAGTATTTTCCTAGCGACGATAAGTGTCCAGTTCACCCATATACGAAACGTTCCTAGATAAATTAAACTAATCGCGGACGAACTTGGACTGCCCGCGCTGTGAATCTTTACCCAGAGATGAGCAGAATTTTGTTCAAATAATAGACGACGGATACAAAATCTGTATAGAAATTTATACGCAGTTACTCGGGTAAGTCTTTATCCATTTAATTCAGACTCTAATATTCATGAAACGAATAATAGACCTGGAGTTGTTTATCTTTTATTTGCTATTAGAAATTTGTCATCTAGATGAGAATTTTGCCCACCTCTGTCTTAACCAAACGAACGAACAAACATTGTTACGCAAACGTAATTTCAGTTTCTCGTGCAGTATGCATCGTTTCCCACGAAAAACAGATGCACCTTTCAAACGTTACTTCCCTAGAACATTGTCAATGCGACAGACAATTGCGTTTATAATCGAGATGAAATCAATTAGCTGCTCAAAGATACTCCATCTTGCTCTCAACTGTAAACCACGCACCGTGTACAAACTTCTACTTTCACGCCACACACCCTCTCTGCGGAGAGACAAAGAATGTGTTAGATTAGGTTTACGTTTACAGCTTGCGTGGAAACGAGAAAACAGAGTTGTCTTCGCAACCGATTGTTTTTACTCTGTTATAGCCTTGCTGTACGACATTGCAAATGTTCTCGATCTCACAGCAAAACGTAGGCTTAGCGATCAGAGATGGGCAAAATTTTATTCGAGTAATAGATAACGAATACGCGACGATTTAATTTTATTTATGACGTGAGATACAGTAACGAATAAAAAGTAATTAGTCTTTTATTCGTTAGTTTTGTTTAGTTAAGAATTTTGCCTATCTCTGTTAGCGGTGCACGATGGGACCACTCTCGTTTCGTTTCGTATCAACTATCGAAGCTCTTAAGCCGTCTGTTTTCGCTTTACTTCGCATTGTTACCTAACCTTATCGTTTACATTAAATATATTTATATAATTTATTAATCGTTAGTCAAAGTTGTCAAGTCAGTTCGAAATATCGGCAGAGTTCATCGTCGCTCTCGACCGCCAATATATCATATGCGTTGAGATCATTTGAGTGTATGGATTAAAATACTCTTCGATACGAGTTTCTGAACCCGTGGGGATCGCGTATAGTCGGAGCAAAATCAATTCACTGACAGAGACTACTATTCCCACTGCAAGTGCTCGTTTGTAGACCAGAATTGAGCAGTGATTACGTTGCTATTGCTTTTGTAATTACCATTCACAATTGTCAGATTGTGAATCAATTATTTATAATCTATCAGAGCTAATCGTGTCTAATTTGTTATAGATCACGATTGATGATTAGTGAATTAATGAGTTATGATTATTCACTAATCATAATCATGGACTACTTATTGCTTAATAATGTAGCACACTTGCGTGTAAATACAAGTGGTGATGAATAGGTTAATAATCAATGTAGTGAGGATAGTTGCCTAGAGCAGTCAATGTATTTTGCGGCAACTCGGTTATCATAGACAGCGCGTGTTGACACTCTCCAGAAACCAGTATTACACACACGCATATATATATATATATTATATGTATATATACGTATGTATATATTGCAATTGAATGACGCAACGTTGAAATTGGTCGCGTGTATATAAAAGGAGAAATGCGGTTGTTATTCGTCGTCAACTAACTCGGCGGAACTAGCATTTCTAGGATTTTCAAAAATACATCGTTTTCCCGATGATCTTATTACGACCTGTACGGACATCATTTTTCCCCTTTCTCTCCCACTCTTTCACGCGTTTGCGAAAATACATCTTTTCGGCGGAACAAGAATTGGATTATTTATACACTTGCGGTAGGTAAGATTTATGGGTTTTCTATTCCTCTCTTCTGGCACGTACATTTGGCGCTATTAAACGCCAATGTGAATTGACGAGACTGAGTTGAAGGTACGTTTTATATATATATATATTTTTTTTTTTATATTTCTTTGCCTTAAGATTTACTTCGCTGTCACGACGATTATACATCAGCGTTTCCCAATTTTTCCCCTTTAGACAGACGTTGATCCTGAATCTTTCGTGCACCGCCTTTAGAATCGATAAAATTGTTCTAAATATTCTACGATCGAATTAAGATAAATAGTATTTTAAATAAATGATCCGGGTTTGACGATCCTTGTATGTCTCCACTGCTAGTTACATAAGTTGTATAGATCAATTAAAATTGATTGATACGAATTCATTCGGAATTAATAAATATCTCCCTCTCCTTAAACCATTTCGCGATTCGCAAAGATTAAAAGTAAATCTATACATGATTTCTAAATTCTGATACCGAGTTCGCGTTTCTTCTTCCTCGTTTGCGACGAATGATCACGATACTATAAATTGAGAAACGCCGTTCTATAAGCTGTTCGCAGCACGTGTCTCCCTTCTTTCGTTCTAAACACGGAAGTTATACCTTAGTAATTGCTATACAAACCATACGTTTTACTATACAAATATGTTAGAGCCGCAATGACACAATAATTGATTAATTCTGTGGGGAGATATTTGTCGCGAATGCCACCGCTGTACAGCTTGTATCCTTTTCCTGTTCTGTCATCCACGAAATGGTAGAAAAGCGTAATGATAATAATTGTTCCAAAAGGACTCAAGCTTGATATGAGAACACCACCTTGCTGCTTGAGCAATTCAATGTCACTGGCAGTAAGACATTCGTAACCATGTTTAATATCCTCGCCACTTCCATAAGAAATCAATGATCGTCTCGATCCGCTTGTTTACAAAAATGTACAAGTATGTTTTGAGCAGCTTCGCAATACTTTACAACCGTACTCTAATCCGTAATAATAGTTAACGACAGCTTATCCCCTCCTTCATCACTTTGGACTAAATGTAATCCTTTAACATATTCGTAATTGGCAGTGAACATTTCCGTGAATTTTCTCGCGCGCAATGAACTTCTTTTACGTATTTTTTTTTCATTTCCATTTCCATTTTGTTTTTTATATTTTTTTGGGATCGCGTTTCGATGAAAATTTTGAGACACGCGATCGAAGAAAACGATAGCAACGAAGAAACGAATATTACCGTACGCCTAAATGCTAGTTTTCGCAGTTCTTTACTCTGACACGACACTGATAAGAAACGCGTTCGATGATAATTTACGTGTCCCGGCGTGTCTTGTCGCGAAGCTTACGCACGGCGATGCCATTAAAGGATTTACAAGCATAAAGGCAGTCTTCTCTCGTTTCTTTTATTTCCTTAACTTTCGACTTTACATACCCAAGAGCTAGAAATAATTTTCTTTTTTTACACGTATCGCGCGAGTTCGAAATTATACGAGTATGGGCCATTAATCTAAACCGTTTGTACAAATAGTGCTAACTAATTGTCAGGATGTTGAAAAACTTTCGATTGCTCCAGTGACTATATCGAATATTGTGCGTGTCTTAAAAAATTAGTCATGGAAATGGTTCAACGCAGCAAATTTCCTAACCTCATTTGCTTTCTTTTCTCTCTCTCTCTCTCACTCTCTCTCTCTCTCACTCTCCCTCTCCCCATTTTTTTTTTATAGTAGCTCTCAGGTACCTGAATAATGCTTATCGTAAAGTTCCTTTTTCGAACACAGACAATGAACTAACAAAGTCACTGCAGAGTGCCCAAGAAGTCCAAATATCTGTGTTGCATGTATCCTCAGGAGGACTGGCTAGACTGAGCCGACGAGGGAGTGGTTAGGGACGTGTGCAGAGTAAATCCATCGTAAACGTCCATTAAATCGCGCATTCTGTATTCTTCTAGGCATACGAATCCTTCGAGGGATGGAGATTGCTTTCGTGCACAATCCATGCAGTGTACTACGTGTCGTTTCTCTTGCTCCCTTATGAACAAGATATTGAACACTTCAATCTGTAACAAAATCAAGTACGATTTCGGTAATTCCTTAGAAGTTAATAAATTCGTTTAAAAGAATGAACGTTTGTCGAATATTTTACCTCGCATTGTCCACAATAATGTGACGCTTCGTTCTTCCCTCGTCCATGAAATCGAACTTCTACGCCCTTACTTTTCACAAATTCTAGTATTAAGCAGCACTGCCTCATTGTCCTTAGCAGACAATTTTTAATTAGTTCGAATAGTCTAGGATCCGACACTTTGATATTTCGAGCTAAATTCCAGGATAAGTGTACCATCGGTACAATGGATTTGAACGACTGCAACTTGTTCCACTCGTAACGTTCGATTGCCAATTGGTATTGACGAGCTGTCAAAGGACCTACGTTCCATGCGATGTTATTACACCAACCAACGGCTTGAACCCAATGTACGCAACCTAAGAGAACAAATTCCATTTGTTTAAAACGCTTCGACCATTTCTTTTTTAAATTGTAGTGTAAATTCAAGAGCACGAAATTATTTTATCTGTGTTATTCTACGGTGTCATTCATTTTAAGTGATAATAAATTGCGAATATAGACTACCCACCTGCATTGACCCAGACAAGATCGCCTGGCCTTTGTAGAAACCTGTACACAGGAATATTTTCCTCGTACAAGTCTTCTAAAGAAGGCCACCAACTACCATGAAGGTAATTGATGTTATTCCGCTCGCAAAGAGTACAAATTACGCCCCAGTATGCGTCAGGTACTGCGAACCATTCGCAATCTCCAGGCCCGATGTTGATATTAATGGAACAAAAGTTGTTATTCTCTTGGTGTCCAGGTGTCCTGCTACCGGGTACCTATGAATATATAAGAGTATATAAGATGTCATTAGGACCAAATTCTAACACGCGAAATAATAAAGTACGTACCTTCATGTACAGCTGAACAGTATTCATGCCTAAAATAACATGGCCAACGTGACTGAGCATATTCCCAGCCGAAACAACTCTGGCGAACGCTGGCAGTTTCATCAGCTCTTGAAGCTGCGGTTTCCATTTCCTTTCGTCCGATAAATCTACATTGGTCCCAAATCGCAGCATCTTTGAACCCGGTCTCCCCGCCAAACCGAACGCGTTTTTCTTCCTTCTGACAGCACCAGTGCTGTCCTTGGAATCTGAATCGGATAAATTTGAAGTGTGTATACCTTGAGCCTTTTCCCTCTCCTCTTTCAAGCTTTCCTGAAAGCTCGATGCTTGGTATTGCGCGTATTTCGCAATGGTCGTGTGACTTCTATGACTTATGCAACCCCAAACTTTCCTCCCCATCACAGGGTCCCAGTTCTCGTCGCTGGTTTGCTGCATTTGCGTCCTGACTTCGATCCCGTGGTCGGGATTGGCCTCCACCAGCGTCTTCGTCGAGAACAGGCCAAGGTCTAGCTTCAGAGCGGCTGCAAGACCTCGGATCACAGCTATCGGGTGCTTCAAACAGAACTCTTGGAGCTGTGGACTAAACGCGTCCTTCTTGTTCTCTAAGTAAACGCTAGGTGTCGGAGGTAAGAGTTGTTCCTTGGTTAGCCTCTGGCTGGGTGGATCAGGCGGTGCTGGGGGTGGCGAACGATCGCTAAGTATCGAGCAGTTCGGTACACCTTTCAACCCTTGACCCTTGCACGCATCGATCACGCATTTAGACTCCATCTCTATGCTGAGCTCTTGATCGGGCTGCGATTCGCACAAGCTTTCCAATTTGAGAACCGGCTCGATTCGAGCGGTCGGTTCACTTTTATTTGTACTCGACGTCGCCTCGCATTTTACCGTCTCTACCGTCTGGGTCGGAGTCTTCGACTTCTCGTACGTCTCCAGCTTCGACGTGGACGACGGTTGGCTATCGTCCATCTTCTCCAGCTTCACCTCTTTGATTTTCTCGTTACTTTCCTCCAAGTTCGACGGCGAGAACGGACCAGAGCTCAGGGTGCCATTGTTCATGATACTTGGCGCTTCCTCCTTCACGTCCAAATCTTCGGAGCCAAAGTGTTTCAGTAGGTCTTCCGCCAATGTCGTCGCGATGTCCTTCTGCGACAAAAGAGCTTGCAATTCTTGATCCGTCACTCCTAGATCTTTGTTCCCCGCGGAACCTTCCGGGTAGTTGCTGGTGGTCGATGATATCTGAGTGTAACCTTGGGCGCTGTACTGATTAGGCTGGTATTGGTTGTACTGGCCGGACGCCAGTTGCCTCTGTGAAAAACTCGAATCGGAGGCAGACTTGTAAGGCATTCCTGGCGTCTGGCTGTTCCCAGTTGCGGCTGTGTTATAACCAACGTTGGAGTCTGAGAAGCCTGTTTGCAACGCCACGGTTCCACCTTGCTGCAACTGCGTCAAAAGGTAAGATTATGTATATTCGTTCCGAAGGTAACTCAACGTGTCGATTCTTAGGAAATAGTTACCGGTTGTTGGGGTATCCCATAGTTTTTAATGACACCGGGCTGTCCCAGCTGCGCGTGATTGTATCCAGTCGGATAGCCAGGTTGTCCAGGCCTCAGGCCTCTCTGCGTAGCTTGCTGTTGTTGCAACCTGATCTGCTGCTGATGCTGTTGCATTGACCTATACTGGTGCTGTAACTGGGCAAGCAGTCCCTGCTGTTGAGGCGTCAGACTTCCATGATTCTGTTGGAGAAACTGCAGCATCTGGAGCTGCTGGGACGACAAGTAAAATGGCGGTGGCCTTTGTTGCGTGCTTGGAGAGATTGGTTCTTCCCCTGGCTGAAAATAGTGATTATTAGATTAATCGAGAGTGAATTACATCGATGGTTCATTGGATATTTTATACCTAGGAGGTTAAGACTCACCTTGAATCTTTTCGTGTTGAGATTTTGTCCCTGTCCTTGGGGATAAGGGGGTGGCGGTCCAGAAGGCGTAGTACCATACTTGTAGCCTGGTCCGGTGGGTGGTTGTTGCTGCTGCTGCTGCCTACTAGACATCTCAGCGCTGATGGGCAAATTCCAAGCCTCCTCTATAGACGGCAACTGCCGCCTCCTTGACGAAAACAAAAACGTCGCACGTTAAGAAACCTGATACACGTTCACAGGCTTTTCGACGGTCATTCAGAACACGGATCGGTGAGCATTTATAGTGAGCATTTACAGTGAGCATTTTCCGTAGCATCGGAGATCCTTCGTGTTCGATCTCTTTTTTTCTTATCTCTCCTCGAGAACAATTCGCTAGTGTTGATAAAACAATGTTCACTCACTGGTAGAAACGGTCAGAGAGTATGGCACGTGAATGATTTTCAATGAATAAACCGTGAATAAGAGATATGTTTCTCGACACAGTGTCTAGCCTCGTAAAGTGTACCAATCTTTGAATGCAGTAGGTTAACGTAATCATGCAACTAGAATTAGATATTCCAGTAGCAAAATCAGCATTGAAAAGGTCGGTTCTGAAGTTTTCTGTTCAATGTGAGAGATGAAAAAATTGCGATTCCGTCGTATGTTAACGCGTTTATTCGTTTCGCTGCTGTCTGCGCCGATGGGCGCTCGACAAAATCGCTCACCGTATTACTATCGGGGCCTAAGAGGCGCTCACTCGATCGGTGGACCGCGTGCGGTGAACGCCTTACGCGCGTTCGACGAACACATATGTTCAGCGCGTGAAAAACTCTTCCGCACGCAGTGTCGACTACCGCTACGAGTTCGCCGAAACACCGAGCGGCTTGCATCGAAGTTGTCCGCACTTAACCCTTCCCCTGTCCCTCCGCTCGAGGCTGGTCCCGCTCATACGCTCTGCTCCAAAATTTAAAAATGCTTAATGATTTTTTTTTCAATAAAAAATCAATTAGGTCGTATCACATGAAATCACCATTTTCTTGAGTTGAAATGGGAACGTTCCAGATATGCCACCAATTCGCTTAAAAAAAAAAAAAGAAAGAACCATAATCAACCCCTGGGTAAACCTATAAGTAAGAAAAAAAGGAGGAGCGAGTAGATTTAAATAAATACTTTTCAGCGACGTTTTGTCTTCTTACTTTGAATAATTTTCAGACGACCTACGTAACAGAGAAATTGTGGGAGAGGGAATTTAATTTAAAGGATGGGCGATACGTAACAAATATTCACATTTGTAAAATTAAATTACGTAAAGTAATTAAAAGTATGGGATAACGAAAACGGTTAATTTAGATTGCTGACTTAACGGACGGTTATTGTTACCGATTCACCTGATCGAATATCGGGAATTTCATGTGGTACCATCTAACATAAGCAAATTTTAATTAATAGAGTCTAAGATTGACAAAGGAAAATATATATATATATATTCATTCGTTTCTCTTAAAACAATAGAGGAAGCAGTGCAGTGGTAGGTCTCTCGATTACCTTGCCTAAGATTGATGCTACTATTGCAACTGAATAAAAAAAGTCGATAACTATTATTCACGAGAGTTACAATAGTTGTTTTCATTCTTGTTTATCGGATGTAGAATTGCCTTTTTAACCGTCTGGCACTTCTGCTCTGCCCAGGCAGCTCCGAAAAACGTGTCAGGGAACGGATTCGATGGTTAACTTTGCGAAGAAATCAAGCAACGCATGCTCCAATTTGGAACGAACCAACAATCGAAGAGAGCTCTCAACGATATATGATATTCAAAATAAAAATAATGTCATTTGATGAAGATCGACTTCAAATTAAGATATCCTCGGGTACCTTTGATCGTTATTCCTCATTCCTGGTCATTGATTACAGGCGCGTAACAGTGGAAACTTGACGAATCGCAGAAAATTTAGAATCAAAAAATTAGAATTTAAAATTTAGATCGGAGCTGGGTGACATCGAATCGAGATTAAATTTTGGAAAATTAGATTTAATAGATGGCGCTTGAAATTTGCAGCGTTGTAAATGGTAATTTATCAAGGTTCCGCTGTGCGTGTACACCGAGATTTTGAAGAAGACGAATCGAACTTACTTGGTAGCGACGGAAGGCATCGGTGCTTGGCTCAGGTGACTCTGCAGGAAGTTTATCCTCTGTTGGAGAGATGGGTTCATCGGGGTGTTGCCACCAGACTTGGCGCCACCCAGGCCCGCCAGTGAGCCCGTGCAATTTGGAGTATTGTTGTTACCCCTGGAGAGGAGAAAGATATATCGTTACTACAATACGCTTCGGAATTCGTGGACAGGCGAGCTTCCAATGTGCACCTCATACTTTTTTCATCGGAATGCTAACGCATCGTTTCGCCGTGTGATGTTTACATTACCTGGACGCGTTCACGTAACAAGCCAGGGCGTCTTTAGGTTGGCTAACGCTTTCGTACAAAATGCCCAGATTAGTCCAAGCAGCCGAGTGGGATTTTTCTAATTGTACCGCGCATATATAGGCTTGCAGCGCGTCCATAGGCTGATTCTGCTGCTGGTACAGAACGCCTATGCTGCACCACGTGTCGGCATTCCCTTCGGACTTTTCCACGGAATTTCTGCAATCATCACGGTATTCGTTAGAGGTAATAAATATACAAATTGTAAGGATATAGGATATACAATTACGTATATATATATATTTACAGTTTTTTGTTAAAAATTCTTCTTCAACAGAGTTATTCAATTTAATCAAAATGTTTGATTGTTTGAAAGTTATTACTTAATCTTGTACAATATATAAAAATATAATTATAATTCATCCAATGATTGAATTAAAAAGTTACAAAAGTGTATATAGAAATATTCGAATTTAAATAATTTAATAATAGAGTCAAGCTCCAACGTTTTCCCATGGAAATTGAAAAAAAAAAAGAATGTCTTTAAGATAATACATTTTCGCCTGGATAAATAGAAAACGTACAGCCGATCGCCAAGATCAAAACGTCAATGGTAATTAATCGCGCGATTTATCCGCGGCCGACGCTAATCCTCTCTCGTGCTCCATCGTCGCGTTGTCCGTAGTTGCGAAACACATCGCGCGCAAAATTCCCGCGGAACGATCGTTTTTCAAAGGCGCAAGACGCGAATACGTTAAAGCTCGCATCAGGAATTTCACCATCGACGGAGATCGTTCCCGTCCTCTAAGAGGCTTAACAAAGTATCCGAGGCTCGAATGCACGAACGCAATAATTTCGAGATTAGCGCCGTCCACGCCGGAACACGTTACCTGTAAGCGATAAATGCATCGTGAACTTTTCCAGAAGCGGCGAGGCAACGGCCCAGCAGGTAAAGGCTTTGCCCGCTCTTCGGTTCCGCCTCGATGGACTTTTGCAGGCAGTGAATAGCGATCGCCTGCTTCTGCTGTCTCGTTATACCCAGCACGGTACAGTCAACAACGTGGTACATCCATCCTGCAAAACGACAAATAGGCAAAATTGTCATCGAGCTCCATCTTTGAATGACGATTAACCCTTTGCACTCGAGAGGTGACTCTCGGTCACCATTAGGTTTCACGCAGCGAATCTACAATACCTAATGTTTCTTTAGGTTTCATTTCTTTGGAGCTCCAAGTGGCGATAAAATGATTGTCGACGAGGTAAAAGTGACCTTATTCTGAAATCTAGATAGCTTAGATTTCATGGCAATAGAATTCTAAGAAACATCTCGAGTTGCTGGCAGATACCAGAAAACAGGCCTCGAGTGCAAAGGATTAACCCTTTCGATCCGGACATTCTTCTGCTTGCATTCTATTCGTTTCTCTTTTCAAAATTAATTCTATTAACCCTCTGCATTCGACGACGGTTTCTACCCTTCTGATCAGAGATCACTCGAAGGTCACTCGAAGGTAAAATATTAGAAATGCCTGAATTCACTTTTTCAGTATCTGGATCTCAAACCATCACATACCTAAGTGTAGCACAATTACACCAATAATAATTGAACATATTCTACAAAATTTCCTTTAAATTTAAACTACTAAGCCCGCTTCAATTTCGATCGAAGGTCCCGCAGCACGTGCTACTGGCTAACTTCCGGTGTCTACCTGGCCTATTCCAGATGACCAGCTCGTCCAATTAACGTCCATCTCGCCGACCACTCGTAGACGAGTACATTTTTTGCGTCACCACCTCGCACGAAAACTGTCGCGATCTAATTCGAGCGCGAAACCACCAGGACCCCCTGGGAACGCAGGGGTAGCTTTCGAACGGAGACTAAGAAGTCCGAGGGACCAACGTTCCCGTGGATCACCGAGGGACGTGTTGCCTCGACACTAGACGAGTATAGAACTGAATAGATTTTCGCAGGTATAGGCTAGGGTAGCCACTTTTACCCCACCTCTCCCTTCGAGGCGGTCTCGAATTACAACCCTCTATAAACATAGGCGTAGAAGCAGCCCGCGGAAGCCTCTATCTTGGAAAACAGCCAGTCTCGTGGACCTGACCGCCACGTCCAGTAAGTTCCTGCAAACAAATTGCTGGATCTTTCGCAGGACGTGCGACTGTCTTTTATTCTGAATAATTTCTGGAGGTGGAGCGTTTATGGGCTCCTTTTGGAACGGTGTAAATATTCTCTAATCTTTGGAAAACAGCTGTGAATCTAGGAAATGCGTCTAATTTCTTGCGAGTCAATTGCAGAATTTTCCTAAGGTGCTTTAGCGACTGTCTTTTATTCTGAATAATTTCTCGATCTCAATTGGAAGATCTATGGCCCCCTTTAGCAGTGACCTATAATTGTTCTCTTATTTTAGATTCAAGCAGACAGGAATATCCGTCCTTCGAGACAGTTGTGAGCCTAGAGGACACGTCGATTTTTCTGCAAATTAATTCCAAACGTTTACCAAGATGCTGTCGCGTCTGTCTTTTATTCTGAATAATTTTCCTATCGCAGTTGGAAATTTTATGGTTTCTCGTTGGAATGGCCTAGCTGCTCTTTAGCCGTAGGGTCTAAGTAGGTGCATGGGGTACGCGTGTACGTGCCATCCTTGAAGGCAGCTGTTAGCTGTAACGGTATACCTTTATTTTCCAGTTCTTTCGTTCATTATTATCCGCCGTGGATAGACCTGCTCCTCCTGCAGAGGTTAGAAAGGTAGATAGTTCAGGCTCGCCAGTGTAAATAGAGCTCGGAAGGCTGATGTGATTCCATTAACAGTTTCCTCGGGACGATGTTGTATAACGAGGGCCGAAGCAAAATCGGTGGAAGTTATTCCTTTTTAACAGATTTATTGATGAGGAGGTGATTTGCTTGGCTGGCTAAAAATTTTATTGCCGATGACAAGGCTACGCTGTTTTGGACAGTTTAGATTTCAGACTTTCGCGGGCGTCGTTTGTTGTAATTATTTATTTATTATCTCCCATTTATTAGGACACCTTTATTATGCTTCTACATAAATCAATCGGCAATTACATAACCAGTGATGAGAATAATCCTATCGAATATTTATACTTTCAGACTAATCTGCAATATTTACTGCACCACTTTGTATACCTAATTCGATAATTAATTGAGAACATTTTTACAAACGATTCCAGTAAATGTTTGCATTGTCGACTACAGCGTGCATAAATTGTGGGAACAGAGTTATTACAAAATTGTCCCAAAATGGAACGAACTCGTGCCAGAGAAAAATTGTAAACGAAGGGAATCCTCGTTGTTTACCGATTTTGCAATATCACCATTTTCCATGGGACTCGACGCAATTTTAATCGCGGTAATTTTCGCGTACCTGCGCCGCTGCGCTGTCTAAATTAAACACGTGCCGTGGGAAAACGAGAGTTTTGCAACAAGTTGTTACACAATCGCGAAACGGGATGCTTAAATTGTGCACGGTGCGATTCTAAATGGAATTATGTCGGTTGTCTCGTAAACCATCCAGTGAAATCGAAGAATCGATGCCCTAGCAGTTCGTCGTTTGCGTACAATTAAAAATTGGGGAAGAAAATTCTTCGAAAAAGTAGATTCCTCAATAAAATATATATATATACTCTACTTGAAAATGTAAAATAGCATTCAAATCAAATAGCATTCACGAGTATAGATAACTACGTATTTACAGTGCAGGTTTTTAAATAAATGCTATTATTAGCCTAGCCTTGATGTTTTGAAATAGATTCCACCAGATGCGCAATAACTGTTTGAAAATTTTGCTTGCACAAAGTAAAATAACAAAGTGAAGTTAATCTCGAGACACCCTGTAGAGGCACCCAACTGTATAGGGTCCCCAAACGGTGCCAAGACTCTTTTACAACCTGTTTACGGCACCTCGCGTGTCAGCGCAGCGACCGGTTCGACAGTCTCCACTTTTCTTTTCGTTCTTTTTATTTTTATTTTTATTTCGCTTCATTTTTCGCGTCGTCCGCGGAGTTTCGTACGCTTCATAAATTAGCTCCGACACGGATTGCCCAGCGCAACATTGCAACCCGAGGTACCCCGAGAGCGTATTTCGCCCCGAAGGGATAATCGTCGAGGATAAGAACGAGAGGGACTCGGGCTATTTCCGCGAACGCGTGCGATTTTTTATTGTCGCGTGATTATTATGTCGGCGTAATTACGTTGTAAACATCGCCACTTCGGTTCCCTGGGTGCATTGTGCCACGCGCTTTTATGGCTGTTTACCTTCCGGGCCGAGCTTTCGTGCGTCGCTCCCGTTGCGATGCACTAAAAACGCCAATCCAAGAGAAACCGTTATCGTGGGAACCTGATAATCGTGCCTACTTCTACTCGAGTCGTACATTTTTTCCTGCTTTTATTCCGGAGTTCTGGAAGCTATTTAAAATCGATTTTAATAATAAAGAATACTTTAATAGAAAAGTAAGGCCACGGTGATTTGAACTCGTGACCACTAGATCGGTAGTCGAGCGCTTTAATCGGTGGACCATCGCTGCATCCTATCGGTAGTGTTTTTATTTGACTGCTTAATATGTTGAACATGGAAAGCATGATATATATGCAGATCAATATTTGCAATTAGGTGTGAACCTAACCTTAGGTGAGAAAAAAGGAGGGGACATGGAATGATTGATACTATAATATACTATACATGTGATGTATGTCCTAAAGGTAAAGAGTCAGTCGCTCGTAAACGTCCTAAGCAAGAATACCTATTCGTGCAAAGAACTCAATCTTACCACTAGTATTATTAATAAAGTTGTACACTTATAGTTTGGACATTGTAAAAGTAATTGTTTCACCTCGCACGCAATATCACAACAATATAAGGTGAAATTGATTCTCTATTGCAATGAGCGCCCTAAAGAATTGTGGTGAAACGACTGTTCAGAGTGATTCGAAAAAGTTTGAGATACTTTGATGATAGTACAAGGCAAAATTTATGCGAAAGGTTTGGCGCGAAGGTAACCGACACCCGTTTAACGAGGTAGTGCCTACTACGTGACACGGCAAGTAGAATCGAAAGATTATACAGGTCAAGCGGCACGACTGACCCACTTTGCCCGTCCACAAAAACCCTCTGCGACGGTTCTGCTTTGTGAAAACTGCAAAATCTAGAGACCCTTACATTGCACCGCTCTTTTAGAACCGAGACGCTACATAACAAAAAAAAAAAAGGGGGACGGCTCCACGGTATCGCAATTTTTACCAGAGATGGACAAAATCCTAGGCTTCGAATAAATTTGAAGTTTGCCGATGTGTTTGTCTCGTTTCCTTCTTTGTAAAACGTTCAAATGTTCAAATTTTTAACGGATCGATGCCACGTACGCGTTCCTCTCCAGATCCATTCTTCTCGCGCGCGAACAGTAGATTCATCGACCCCTATTTTGACGTATATCTCGGGACTGATTCGGCAGATAGTCGTGAAATTTGTATATGAATCACCTACACCTGTGAAACTTTTAAGGCGTCTGGCCACCCTGAGCGCTCGCTAGATGGGTACTGTTCTTAAAAAAAAAAAATTAATTAAAAAATTAATCAAGTAATCGCAAAAATCCATTGCTATTCTTCAGATAATGCATCTAAAAGTAGTGTGTAGAAATTTCAGAGCAATCGGACCGCACGTTTACTTTTCTTTTGGGATTATCTCGACACTACATTTTTCGAAATGGTACAACGTAAATCTCGTAAACTATCGGTCCGATTGCTCTGAAATTTGTACACACCACTTTTAGATACATTATCTGAAGAGTAGCAATGGATCTTTGCGATTACTTGATTAGTTTTTCTTTTTTTTTTTTTATTGACGATTTTTCTCGTGAAATTTCGGTGAAAAATAAAAAAAAAACATTTCTTCGGCTCACCATAATTTTCTTAATGGTAAAAAAAAAAATCCAACTGCTACTCTCTTGCGACAAACTCCAGAAACAATCCAATATTTTTTTTTTTCTTTTTCACACGCAACCTAAAGAATATAACGACGGGACAGCCCACACGCGTTTCGTGCCGATGGCCATCACGAAAATTTTCGAACCGCCGCCATTTTTCGTTTGTTGTTATCTCAAATAATTTTTCACGTGTTCATTAAACCGTTTTTTATCAAGTGTCAAAACATAAAAATATTTTGTTCTATACTTTCGCATTTATGAATTTTTTAAGAATAGTATCCACGTCTGACGAGCGCTCAGGTCGGCCAGACGCCTTAAGAAACTTTTAAAAATTTTAAGAATCGTTTCAGAGACGAGGAAATGGGGCAACGCGAGGAGGAAGACAAAAGACTGTTTCCCGCAATCACGTCTTCTTATCGAATTCTCGTTTCCCCCGTTCGTCCCTCTCCCCACTCTTTTCTTCTCTCATTCGAGCACGCACCACCCTTCCCGCCTCCTCCCTCCGATCTCATCCCTGGCCCGCCCCGACCCGGAATAAATCAATACACGTGTCTGCTACTTGGTTGTACGCTCTGTGGCTGAACCTTAAGTCCAAATCCTACTAGCCCAAAACGGCCGACGACGGTCTTTTACCACCGCGAGGTGATTAATTCAACCCTTAAGAAGGGTTACGCACATTTCAGCAAAAGCGAGTCGTGACGTCGTGAAAGCTTTTATTATTAAGAAAAAAAAAAAAAAAAAAAAAAAAATTTCCTTACACTAGAGGAAAGTGTGGTTCGTGAATAAATTACCGACTTTACCGACCGGTAGCCGATTAATCGGCTTTTTGTCCCCAACGCTCACCGACCGGTAACTGCTACGGTAACTAGCAAGTATTTGTTACTTTGAATTGAGATACAAGTCGCTTTGCTCTGTAAGCTCTCGTATTTTTATACAATTCCCGGTGCCAGAGAAGATCTGCTGCCGAGCGGCCGGTGAAAAGGGCACATAGGATCTTGAACCGTTACCGGTCGGTAAAGTGTTAAAACTGAAAACACCAAAATAATGCCAGGGTTGGCACAAGACCCTAGATTTCGAATAAATCTGAAGTTTGCAGATCTCGTTTCCTTCTTTGGAGATACAAGTTTGTTCAAAGATTAATTCTTTGATTAACTCTGAGCCTAGCTATAGTGTTGCCTCTAGTTCTAATTGCTCTACTCGAGTAGGTAGATTATTTTTAACCGACTTCGAGAAGGAGGAGGCAGCTAGATTCGACGTGTACATTTTTTTTTCTTTTTTTTTTTCTCTAAATCTGCCGTTTGAACATGGTTTTAGTTTAAGCTCGGAGATAACTTAGACCTAGACTTAGACTTAGACTTACCTAACTGGCGGCAAATGTCAGCCTTCAAATGAGAGGGCAGAGCTTTCTCCTTAAGCAGCGCCTCGTAATTCTCCTTGGCCAGGCGATACTTCCCTTGAACTTCGTACAGGTGGGCTATGTGAAACTTGACTGAAACACGCAAGAGGTATTCGAACGTTAGTGGCGATCGAGATACGATACCATAGTAAATCAGATCGAGTTACAATAAACAAACAGTGAGACTAATTTGTCATCTATTAACTCTTTGCACTCGAGAGATGACTCTCAGTCACCGTTAGGTTTTCTTTAAGTTTCATTTCTTTGGAACTCCAAGTGCCAATAAAATGATTGTCGTTGCGAAACAAACGTGACCTGATTCTCGAATCTCGAATTAGAGATCTCACTTTCGAAATCAATATAATCTTAGCCTCATTCGTGGCAATAGAATGCTAAGAAAGCATCTCGAGTTGCTGGTAGATACCAGAAATAAAGGCCTCGAGTGCAAAGGGTTAATAACTGAACCAGAGGGGGTAAATTTCCAATTTACCCTTGGAAATTTAATTTCACCCTCGCATTTACTTCGAACAGAATCGAGTGATCTTACAATAAATCCAAAGTGTTTCCACGTAACGACCTTGGCATGACCATGGAGATAAACTTGGACGTCGATATTTACAGCGAAACAGTCTCGGGAATTTCAATTAGCATTTGCAACAAAGTCGGAGTCGTCCATCGTTTGTTCGTGCATCACGATGTTGTGGCAAGAATAACAAACAGGATTACAATGAATTTTAAGCGACGGTGTACCGCCAGCTGCCGCGTGCGATTGCATAAATACGAACAAGTGTAACAAATAAAAATATCTAAATCCGCGACTGTGGTGGACTCTTCCTGATCGCGTGATTGGTCGACACGAGACTGACCTGGAAACCTGTCGCACTGTTTTACAAGTGGAATTTCCGGCTGAGTAAAGAACCGGAGCCGATTCCTCGGTATGGAGAATTCGAGAGAGCTCGTTCGCTTAAGGGGGGAAGTCATTGAAAATGACGAATCAGTTGCCTAAATGATGATTCAGTAGGCGTGAAAACCATGGAATCATTACGAATTTCTGGTTATATTTGTCACGTTCGATTATCAGAAATACAATCATTATTTCCTTTATTATATATATTATTAAAATATATTCGGTTGTCTGGAAAGTCCATGCCGATTTTTGGTAGGCGCTACGGGTCTGAATATATCGGAATGGTTGGAAACAAATAACATGTGGACATCCCTTAAAAGGTGGAAAAATTGTGGAACAAAATGGTACATATATTATTCGATAAATATATGTATATATATCGAAATTCAAACGTGTCTTTGAATGTTTCTTAGAAATTGGCACAAACTTTCTGGACAACCCAATATTTATCAATGATACAATTACTATTTCCTTCGTTTCGTGTATCATAAGGTTTCTCTATTAAATCCTATCGTAAATATCCAGGGTGTGGAAATATTAGAGGAAATATTTTTTTTTATCTCAGGCTCCTGAATTCATCTTTTAAGTTTGGCCATTTAATCCGGGAACAGCCTGAATATAAAATATATGTATAATATATAATATATAATATAGGAAATACTGATTGTCCTCTTGAAAAAATATTTTAACAACACTGCCAGTCTATAGACTTATAACCTGATATATATATTATTATTAAATTATTCTTATTTTTCTTAGCAAAACAAAAAGGAACGTCGTATTCGTTGTATCCGTTGATCACTTCCATGTAGCAGAGTTTATTCCAATTATCGTGTTCGCGTATATATCTTTATCTCTGGTCCTAAATTTAGCCATCGAATAGTACAACAGACCGGGACCCGTCTTCCGCGTGAGTAGCCACGTGACTCATTCATGTTTCTTGGTAATCCAAAGTGACGCGGATAAAGCTACACGCAGTGGCATGAAATCCCGCCCGGAAAGAGGAACGGAGATTCCCGTTTTATTAATTAAGGCTTCAAGTCCTGCTCTGGTTCGCGTTACGGTCAATAGATTGTTCCTTGGAATAGCGACTACGCTCCGTGCACGCTGCTTTCGTTACCAGCCAGCTGCGATTTTACTCCAGATTTAAGATCGCGTTTGATACGCTACAGAACAGAAGCGTCGAATAATTATTTACAAGCGCAGTACGAAACGTTCATTTTCTTCGAGGCTGTAACGGAAAATGTTACTTCTTTTTAAGAAGACTCTCCATGCTTTAAAAACATTGAATTTTGTGTATTACAGGATATCGTTGATTGAAAGTGGACAGGTTGTTTACCGGATTAAATACCCAAACTTGAAAGATGAATTCGGGTTTTGTTTTTCGAAACGGCTGCCATTTTCCTATGCGGAGGATTTTTAGAAAATGAAAAACGTTAAGGCCCCGTTTTTTTTATAAAAAAAAAAAAAAAAATTAAATTGAACTTCCAACTATACGAAAATATACTACTTTGAAACCTATATAGTAAGTATTTATTTTATATTTGTAAGTTTGACGACGTTCAAACTTAACCGTGCATAACGAGAGACGCTCGTTACCGAGGTCGCATGGTTGATCAACAACGCTGTGACATTACATGTACACACGTGCTTATTGTGTACTTAAGATTGATATAAATAATAATTACTTATATCGACAAGTGTGTTGATTCAGGTAGAATCATTAATATTATTAGGTGATAATTCCTTGTTGTAGGATAAGTTGTATATATATATATTTGTGTTTCATAATTACAGTATTATCTCACTGCTACAACACGTGTCGCTTAATTTAACATAACCTGCATCCTTCTGACGTTTGTATAAGTTTCTGAATCCAAAACTTAGATATTTAAAAAAACTCTCCGGAACACTCCAGAAAACAATGTAGAAGCTGGAAAAAAAAGGCCTAACTTTGCTAATTAATTTCAACCACGAAAAGTGCGCGTAAAGAACCAGTGCAACGCCGCAAGGGTTAAAGTCACGTGGGAGTGTGCGCCAATCAACGCCGTCGCACAGTTCCCTTAAATACTCGTGTAACTTGCGATAAGAGCTATCGTTGTTACACGTGATGTAACAGTCGCTGTATCAAACTGGAGAACGGGGTCAAGTTCGATGGAAGAAAGTGAGCAAAAGAACCGACCGAGGTCGCGATGTTGTCAAGACGAATGCTACCAGGTATGTAACAGCCGCTTTCCACGCTGGCGGAAGTATCGATTTCGCTCGCGGTACACCCTGAACAATTTATTAAAAGTGCTCACGCGAAACACTCCCGCGTAAGCGGATTATTTTCCACGATTATTCCAGCCGGCAATTTTTGCCGCGTGACTCGACGATTTCTCTCTTATTTCTTACGCGACGTCGAACGAGTTACCGGGCGACAAACGTCGATAAGTGGCTTATTTACGAATGCACCGGGGAAACAATGTTTCTACGCGACCGCCGCGCCGGGCACTCGGATATCAATTTTGCAGAACCCGAGTCACGCTACCGCGACGACTTTTGCTGGAAAATAGAGGAAAAATAATGCCCCGCATTGCGTCTAATTCTCTGTTCCCAGTGGGATTAATACGAAGAGGTCACGCGAACCATAGATTCATGGTCGAGATGAGATGTTAGCTATTCTCAAGAACTCTCTCGGGACCTTCGCTGATCTCGTATTCGTACAGGTACTGTGGGGAAACAGAGAAGTTGGCCAGTAGGTCTGATTGGTACCAGTAATCTTCTAAATTATTCCATAGTATTCTACGGTATAGAATCTATATATTACGATACGTAATTCTAATAACATAATTAAGAAGATTATATACAGTAGTAAGATCCAGGAAGTTAGTAAGATCCAGGTTGGAATATTTACTAAACAGCAACATGACATTTTACTACAATAATGAATGTACTGAGAATAAATGTAAAACGTTATATCTGCCACTGCAGAATAACGAAAAAGAAAGTTATATGGCCTACCCTTTCAAGTGCCTGAGAGGACCGTTCCTATAGGTTACTAAAGACTAAACAGATGTGCTAAAACTACGTTGTATACAGCTAGAAATTCTTTCTATGGTTTTCTTTTATCGTTCATGGATCAGTCTCGTGCAGTTCCTCGTTGAGGAAAGATCACTGCTCGTGACAATTTAGTGTTGGAATGGAACGATTGCTACTTTCGGGTCTTGAGGAAAAGGGTCTGTTTTTCCTTAAAACAGAAAGAGGGGTGGGTTCCTAACAGGGACAGAAAGCGACGACCCTCAGTGCGGCGAAATAAGTCAAACGGTACGGGTCGTCGTGAATTTCGGACACCTTTCCTCTGATATTCTTATATATATGTTGCAATCCTTTAGAAAATAAAGTTTATAAAAAAACAATTCTAACGTTTAGTGAATAAAGCTGAAGTTAATCTATAAATTCAGTGTTTTATTATTCACTTATACCTCATTTCCAATAACCGTCCAACTCCTCGTCTCCCCACAGTGCATCGAACTCGAAAACGCATGGGAATAAATCTACACCGAACGTGACCTCTTCGAGTCACGATGACCCGCCGAACACCCTCCTCCGGATTCCCTCGATCGCGTCGATCCCTTTCGAGAAGCTCGAGGTCGATGCGACATGTGGCTAAGGAGTAAGATTTCCGTGTAAAAACGGTTAGCGCACGGCAGCTGTCGGTGCATTATTTTTACGCGAATCGCAATAGCGTAGGCGAGCGTAGAACGAAAACTGAGACTCACTCTCGAGCTTGGAAAAGGAAGCAGGTGTCGTGGCATCGATCAGAGCGAGCGTCAGGTGCTTCAGGGCGGCGTCAAAGTCAGCGTGGACCTTCAGCATCAAGCCGAGCCGTAGGTGAACCTCGCAGGCTCGTGGAAATCCTGGCTCCACCCATAGCACCTGCTGGAATGCTTTCACGGCCCTGGAAAAACACAAAGTCACGCTCTAGTTGGACTGACATTGTTTTGGTGCCGTTATTAAAGGACGGCTACGTCGCTTTGATTTTTATTCAATTACTAGCTGTGCACCGCGGTAGAACTGCATTTTTTTTTTTTGTAATAACACGAATAAAAGAGAATATTAAATATTTTACATTAAAAATTTCGCGACTACAAGATTTCGCCATTTAGGATCGCGACCCATACTTTAAGAAGCCCTGTATGATATAGTGATAGAAAATAGATGAAAGAAGAAGAAGAAGAAGCAGATAGATTTAATTTTAATTATATTCGTGTGTCTACTGACCAGCGAGTCCCATTTTGTAAGAGAAAAGAACAAAATTACTCCCTTGTACTTCCTCACTTTGAGTACGCCAGTATTATATGGCCACCCCGACTATCCGGACATATTGATATACTGGAAAGTATTCAAAGGAGATTCTTACGTTTTCTCCTCTCCTATGGGTCGACTTGATCATAATCACAGTGCCATCATGTACAGGTTCAGGGTACTCTCACTCAGGGACAGACGCACAATACATGAAATTGTTTTTATTCAGAAGCTTCATACTAATATCATTGACTGTGCACCTCTTCTTGAGCTTGTGCCCTTTCACATTCCTCCCAGGACCACTAGGTCCTCATATCTATTTCGTCAATATGTTTCCTCGTCTAGATACTGTCACCTCAATACTGTTGTCCGTGCCTGTGCTACAGTTAATTCCTTTAGTTCAGACAGCGATATGTTTATTGACTCTATCGACTCTACTAAACATAGGCTACGTAACATGTTTTATCGGCAATTCTGCTATTCACCGGCGATAACTTTGTTATGATTGTTTGTTTGTTTGTAAATTTTTGTTTGTCTTGACATCTGTCAACTGTCGTTGTTTATAATTGCTGCACTGTATTAATTTCATAATGGGCTACGCCCGTATATATTGAAATAAGTAAATAAATAAATAAAAATTAAGTTTAACGTCGAATGTACAATAAACTCTCCATAAATGCACAAGTATTAATTTCATAATGGGCTATGCCCGTATATATTGAAATAAATAAATAAATAAATAAATAAAAATTAAGTTTAACGTCGAATGCACAATAAACTCTCCATAAATGCACAAGCTCGGGGACTGAACTTGTGCGTTTATCGCACAGTTCGTACATTTTCTGATGTTTGCCGACGAGCTTCGAACGTAAAGAACGGCGAATAAAGAAGAAGACGGTGCGAAAACAGCAGGGTACGTCGGTGAGTTTTATCGTTGCATTAGCATTGTCTCACCGAGAGATTCGATCCCAGATCATGTTATGCTACTCGGCGATCGAACTCCTGGATCCCTCAAGGGGTATACCCCCAACTGGTGGGGATTTTCTGTGGATTTATCGTAGAGAAATTTGTAAACGATTACTGTAAATGAAACGCGACGAACAAAGGAAACGTTTTGCTTGCGACAGCGCGTCCGCGATTGCAAAATATCGACGAAACAATCCGTGCTAAATATTTATCGACTGCTGTCCGCCGAGACACGTTTCTTCGGGGTCAACGAACGACCATCAGTCCTGGAACACCGACGATTAGCGATGGGATCAAGATCAATATCTGCGAACTACATCAAGCACGCATTTAAAAAAAAAAAAGGTGCCCAATCACTTGTTGAATACTACATTCGTTGGTATAGATACGCCATTACAGTAAAGACTGGATAAAACGCAAGAAAATCGGGACCCAACCGTTGCATTTATCCAGTCGAGGTTTCTGTTCTGTGTTTAAATTTTTACATTTGACTCGAGTCGAACGTAGAAAAGGACAGAGAGCGAAAGAGAAAGAGATCCGAGGAAAAAAGCAATCGACAGAAGCGTATCAATCGAATAGAATCATATTACTGGTCGCTTATCGAGCGTCAAGGGCAGTAACGAGCAAAACCCTAGACTTCGAATAAATCTGAAGTTTGCCGAGATGTCCGTGTCATTTCCTCTTTTGAACATTTTCCAAAGAAGGAAACGAGACAAACATGTCGGCAAACTTCAAATTTATTCGAAGCCTAGGGTTTTGCCCATTGCATTTACCCAGTCAATCATGTCTTACACTTATCCAGTCTTTACTGTACACGAGCAAGCGAGAGTGAAGTCTCTGGCGCTTGGAGCTTTATTCTCACTCGGACAGCCCCGCGACGTCTAAGAGACACAGGTTCAACGCTTTTCACACAGTAACGCCAGTAGCTCATAAATAAATAAACGGAAACTAATGGCACTCGATCCCATCGCTACCACCGCGACTCGATCGTCAGTCGAGGCACGAGACGTTCGCGCGAATAAGAACCGTTTCGAGCGAGCGAAGTTTTCGCGGGGTTAATCAAATTCTTTTCAACTGTCCGAGCCATTGTCGGTGATTAATACCGTCACTGTGAAATCGCAATCCAGCTCTCAGCGGTGACAATGAATTAATCATCGTCAACTCGAACGCTTCGAATTTTTAAGCTCGTAAACCTCATTGGCGCATTCTTGCTACGTAGATACTTCTTTTTTCAGGAACAATCAACAAATCGAATAAACGAATCTTTTCATTAACACGTTCACTGGCAGACTAAAATTCTTGAAAATTTCTACCGCGATTTAATTTTGTTTACAGACTTTTGGAAACTGCGCAATGAAACATTTATTTCGGTACTTAGTTTTGTATATTCATCAAAATTCAAGTATTTTATTTGAATTTATTTTCTATGACACTTAACTTTCAGAATTAATAGTTTTCGTTTTTCAACGAAAAGCACTGTCACCCATATATGGGTGACGTGGCGATCAACGTATTAACCAACTGACTAACTAACTATTCGATTCTTTTTACGAGTTAGTATGCGTCGGGCACATTTACCGTTCGACTTTCGGAGTTGAATATTCTGGAGTTACACAGAGGAGCTCCGTTTACTCTAACGAAACTTTGTTTTCCAGCAAAAGGCAGCTGTGCCCGAAGGTATTTGCTCAGCCCTTAAAGCGTTAAAAGGCTGCCTCGCCTTCGATGTAATCCAATACCCGACTCATCGAACACGCCGTATTAACGAGTTCCTTCAGCGATGGGATCATCCACGTAACGAGCAGAGATAAAAAAAAAAAAAGGAAGAATGATATTCTATTTCTTTCCATCATTTACGATATTTTCTCTGTCTGAAAAATATTCTTTATAGCCGATAGCAGATGTGCAATGACAGAGAAATAGTTTAACGAGCAAATCTAAATGGAACGGGATATTTTATCGATTTACGAGACACGTCCAAGCAATTGCTCCGTGAAAACCGTGTTATTACACATGTTAAACACTTTCAGCTCAACGATGACGCCGTTACTCGGCATGGAAATCGTCCGACCGACGCCCATATTAATTACGCGCACGATATTATTACACGAAAACTAGCCGGATTACCAATCCAATCTTTTCCTAGCGAGATTTATGGTTCGTTCGCTCGTAAACGTCGGAATTTTCGAGTCGATAATCGACGGAGAGATAATATGTTTTCGTACGTTTAAAAAGAAACGAAGTTGACGCACGGCGTGTTATATAGTAGAAAGTGGCCGTGCATTCGTCGCACTCGAATTTTCTGTCTCGTTGCACATCGCGTAACAATGTCAGAGTAATGATTCCGCGTTAACGAACGTTGTTTGGTGATAGATCGCGGATTAGCTTCGTGCGTGAAAAATATATAGAAGCTATTTTACCGTGCGCACGTTTGACACGGTTCGAATTCTATTTTAAGGAGACGCTTATCGAATTTTGCCTGCATTATAAATGATCGAAGATTATTTAGAGGAGGAACTAAACTCTAAGACCGACAGGATTATTGCATATTTAATGCCGCGGGATGACTCTCGATTATTTCTGTTTGCGCGGTGTGGCCAGTTTCCAGAGTATCGATTATCCGGTTTAGACACGGCATCGTCCACTTATCTGGGCCAGTGCATTTATTTCGAGTGGTTACTGTGCGTTTTATCGGCGGGAAGCTCGATCGAATCCGATGTGTCCAAACCGGAAACAGCGACGTCGGCGAATCGATGAAAACATCGATCGTTAAAAATTCACGGTTACGAAACTGGTTTACGCGGGTTCTCGTTACACCGAAAACACGTCGTCGGTGTAATCGCGTGTACAAGTGCGTGCGTGCGTGCTCCCTTGTCCCTATAGAAAAGGATGGACAGGAAACGGTCGGTGTTTCTGACTTGACACGCGAACAGCCCAGAGGGAGAACCGACAAAAACCATAGGGACGGCTGGAGGAACGCTACAATAACAATTGCGATCAGTGCCAAATGACACGCTGCTGGATCGGTGCATATGCTCGTTCTTCCGTGACTACAGGCAGAACTGGATTCGCCCGATTCGTCGCTTTAAAACGACACGTCTCAAATCTTTCCTAGCAACGATCTCGCGTGCTTAGATGTCTCTTCTTTGGAAAGATTCTGTTGTATCTTCCATAATAAGATCACTGAATTAACACGTCGGTGGGCCAAACGTTTTGGTTAGTTCAATGGTCAAAGAACTTAGTTCGGATGCATTTGTAGCGGACTGCGCGGCATAGGTCTAAGAACTGCGACATACTTTGTATGAACGAAGTCGATGACGCGGCGGCGTCTGGCAATGACTTTATCATACGCAATGTTTGAACAGCGGTATTACAAAGCCGCTGACCACTAATGAGGAGAGTTTTTCCTCCCCTTCCTGGTTGCTCCTTGAGGAGCAAACGGGTCGCGAGTTCGACGCAGCAGTCTATGACCAGAGGTCGATATCGGAACATCGACCGTGACTATATAATAAAGTTTACTCTTGTTATTGTTACATTTCGTCTATACGATTTATTCATCCCCGTAACATCCTAAACATTCTTTTTTATTAAGGAGCAAATTGCCATTATTAGATTAAGAACTTTAATTCGGAAAGGCGGTTATTTTGGAAAGGGTATATAATAAAAGCAAAGCTTCGATTTAAGGATATT